GAAAGCATTGTACATCTCTAATCGTCTTTGAAACTTGTCATGATACAATTGCTTCCACCTTCTTAGGGTCCATCTTTAAACCTTCCGTAATTACAATGAATATAAAAAATTCCTTCTCAGTTTGGTTAAATAAGCACTTATCTAATTTGGCATAAAGTCCTCGCTCGCGGAGTTTTTCAAGGACCACACAAACGTGTTTTTCATGCTCTTCTATGTCCTTGGAAAATATTAGAATATCATCTAGATAGATGACAACAAAATTATCAAGGTATTCCCGAAAGATGTCATTCATCATCTGTTGAAAGACTGCCGGAGCATTGGTAAGACCGAAAAGTATGACATTATATTCAAAATGGCCATACCTTGTATCGGAAAGTTGTCTTCCATTCGTCTCCTTCCTTGATTTGCATGAGGTTGTAAGCTTCTCTTAGATCAATCTTTGTAAACATCCTTGCATGTCCAAGTTGCTCTAGAGGACCTGATATCAAGGGTAATAGATAACGATTCTTCTTTGTCACCTTGTTGAGACCTCGATAATCCACGCACATCCGCATCGATCCATCTTTTTTCTTCACAAATAAGATTGGTGTCCCAATTGGCAACTTTGAATGACAAATGAAGTTTTTGGCTAGATTCTCGTCAATGTACTTTTGCAACTCTGCTAACTCCGTCTGTGACAAATTGTAGATTGGGCCAAAAGATGGTTGTGCTCCTTCTTGCAAATCTATGGCACAATTGTATGGTCGATGCTCCGATATCATGTTGACATTCTTCTTTTGAAATACGTCTTCAAAATCCTTATATTGCTCTAGTATATTTGTTGTTGAAATCTTCTCTCTACTAGTTGGAGTCGCATAAATGACAAATGATGTGCCTTCCTTGGACGATGTTACAAACGTTCTTGCTTAAATAAATAAGGATTTTTTGATTCGAGATCTTCTAACAAACTTACTCTCAAAATATTCTATAAGAAATGGCATCTTTTGTAACCTCCAATCTATGGATGGATTATGTATTTCTAATCAAGAAAGAACAAGAATAACAAGGTTTGATGGGATTCTAATAGTATTGAAAATAATATAACTATTATGGTCTTTAAACGTCACCTCTATAGGTTCTGATTCATGGGTGACAGTACTAAACAATAAATGTCGTCCATCTATTACTTCTATGTGAACAAGTTTAGATTTTTGTACTAGAGGAATCTCTTGACGCTTAGCAAATTCTTTGTCTAAAAAGCAAGGAGATGCTCCTGTATCTAATAACGCTAAGGTTTTTAATTTTTGAGGGCCAAAAGATAGAAGAATGGTGAAGCAATAGGCAGGCTGAGCAGAAAGAGAGGAACTTGATTGTTGTTGTGGTATTGAATTGTCTAGCCGCACGGTCCCTATTGTGGCTGGGCATGCTTATTTTCTTGAACAAACGGGCCTCTGGTCCTGACAATGTGTCAATTTTGCTTCTTAGAGCAGTTTCCAGCTCTGTGGCCTTCTTCACCACAATACAAGCATAGTCCTTCTTCTATATGCCGCTTTTTTTCTTCTAGAGTTAGGGATTTGACATGTACCATGTCAATTTGCATGTCTTCCATCTTTGAATGTGAATTCAGGCTGTTTGTTGATATAATTGGAGCGTGGTGAGCTGTATGTTGTCTTGAGCGTTGATCTTGGCGACGTTCAAATAGACAATTATTACACTTCATAGCTTGGCTAATGGCTTTATTAAGCATTTATGGATTAGAAAGAGATAATAACAAATCCTTCATATCATCCCTTAAGCCCCAATGAAATTGATTCATCAATGCTTTCTTGTCCCAGTTGATGTCGCACGCTAATTGTCTAAAATTTGATGCATAGATTGACGCAATGCATGCTCCTTGTTGTAGTGATCGGATCTTTGATGTAGCCCATTGCACCTTGTCATGTTTGACAAACGCTTCCGCAAATGCCCTCAAAAAAGTTTTGAAGTTGTTCAAAATTGATGATTCTTTCTCAAATAAAGTAGCAAATCATAATAAAGCTTGTCTCGTGAGCAAAGTTCCAACTAATCCAACATGTGACTCCTCCGTCGGATAGTGTTCGGATTGTAAAGCTATTATCAATCTAATTTGATTGATAAAACCTCAAAACTTAGAACGTGTACCATCAAACTTGTCTGGAAGGCTAATTCGGGGCTCCTTTCATTGTAAGACCAACAGTCCTTCTTGAACTAGAAGCAAAGTTGCTTCTCTTGGTGCTGAAGCTTCAGGCTGATGAATCTTCTATTTTGCCATCCCGGATGCTCCATCATTATGAAGTCTTACAATGATTCCTTCAATCTCTAAGTTCTCTGTAATAACGTAGCAAGAACATTCATAATGGCATCCAACTTGGACTCCAAACTTTCAATCATACTAATATCTTGACCTCCGGCCATTCTAAGAGAAGAAAAGAAATGACTCTGCAAGAAGGCAGTATTGGTTTAGAGGAGGGTACTCTGCAACCTCTAAAATGCCTTAAAACCTTCAAAAAGAGGGATAATCTACTATCTTCAAGAAAGATAAGACTCTAATATTATAATAGAAGAAATATTAGTCTAGAGGAGGGTAATCCGCAACCTCTAAAATGCCAGCACCTTCAAGCAGAGGGATAATCTCTACTCTAATAAGAAGGAACTAGCTCTGATATGAAAGATGAGTGTAGTCTCGACAAACTGTCACGAATTTAGAATACTTACTGGAAATCTAAATAAGAAGCTCAAGAAGAATTGGCAAGAACTAGATTAATCAGATGAATACAAGAACAACATTAGAGAGGTGAGCTAGAGCTCCAAGAGATGTGTTGTGAAGATTGAAGATTCCCTCAATCTCGGCTCCTATATATACTACAAGCTAGGAAGCTTCTCAAGTAGCTTCCACAAATTAGGAAGCTTCTCAAGCAACTTCCACAAACTACAAAGCTTCTCTAGAACCTTCTAGAATCTTCTACAACTTCCTAGTATATGTCCTTAACAAAAGCCTTTATCCATTGGTTTCTAAGCTTTGTTAGGATGTATAAAATGAAGTATATATTGGAGATGATAGTATCAAAGATATGAACCACAAAAAAACCTAAAAATAATAATATACTCTCATATCACCAAAAGAAAGAAATTAGACAATTAAAAGATAAATATAGAATTAAAACTAGAATGACTATTTCCAAATACAACGGACTAAAAAGTCTTGTATTAAAATAGAGCACAAAAAATGTATTGAGAAGAGTAAGGAAGGCCTCACTCTTGCCTCTATATATACTATTTGTTAAAGAACTATGTGACAATGTCATACATGCCATGTCACACATGTCTAACTTGTAAGATACATATCTAATTTGTAGATCAAGCTCTTGATATGTACCTCACATGGCCAATTTATAATACAAGTGGCTAGATGTGTAGCATATGGCCAACCTGTTGGTCAAGTTGTAAACTTATCAATAATTTATAAACATGTATAAAATCTATATAGCTTCAAAAAAACTTCTTAATAAGATATTAAAAATTTAATGTATTTTTATTTCTTTCTACCTAATTCTACTTGTTTAAGTAAATATATAAGTAAATATGGTTATTTTTTTATAGTATCTCCTTTTCTCTCTCCCCTCTAAGTAGCAAGTTCTACAAAAAGCTATGTCATTACTTCATAAGTTGATGAAGTTGAAGATTTTTCAAATAGTGTAGCAACAATCTCTAATCTTTATTTTGTACAAAGGTTGTTGATAGGCCTCTTTAATCATCAATAATATTCCATATTGGGAAAAAAAACCATCAAATTACTTGATCATTATTAAGGCCTTCATAGCTACATTCAAACAATATATTTTGCATTCTATTAAGTGTAGTATCCACTTCTAACAATATCACAAAGCATTGAAAGTCTCTTTCAAGATTGTGATACTAAATACATTTAATCTCACCATCTATTTGAAGAAAAACGTGTCTCTCATGTGGATCTTTGTCACAATTGTGATATTGTCAAAGTTGCAACAATGTAAATGCTTTAATTGGCAATCCTACAAATTATAATTGTTCAAATTGATTTATTAATTGTTGGTTCTTTATATTTTTTAATACTTATTTTTTTATAAAAAAATAAAAAATATCTATCTATTCATAAGTATAATTAAAAAACTATATTTTTATAAATAGGTATTAAGAAGTATTAATAATTATAATTTTTATTAATAAGTTCTTAAAATGCCCAATAATATTATATAAAAATATCTCTAAAATGCTTCAATTGTGCCACAATATCATGCAAATTATAAAACATAATTTGTTTTGCTAATCTTTATACTAAACCAAAGTTATTCAAAAGTAATATCCAATCATCTCAATAAAATTACAACACTTACACTTTTAATTTAGTTGGCCCATAGAAATTGAAACATCTTCTAATATTTGTCTCTACTTGTAAATGATCTTAAGTTATTGTGGGGGAATAGAATCATTACACAATGTGATCCTTAAGTTCTTCTAAAACTTTTTAATAACATTCTAATGACACAAGAACTTTTTGCTTGTTTTAGGAGACTATTAAGTCCCAAAAATTCTTAAAATTAATAAAGTGGTTTTTTTCTATAGTACCTTCGAAACTATTCAGAATAACTTCTTCCACCCCTTTGCTCCATCGAAATCCATAATACAGATTTTAAAGTAAAAACCAAAATATTGATTGTTATTCTCTCTCCTTATCATTTTTTCTTCCATACTTCTAATTTCCTTATTTATTTATTATTATTATCAATCACTTATTTTGAGTCATGTTGGTGTTTCCATTCCACGTTCACGTCCATCATTGTGGGTCCCCGTGGATCTGACGTGGGGAATACTCATCCAGGCCTGGACACCATGAGAATTTTCTGTCCTAATACTGCCCACAGTGGACTTACCAATGATGGCAGGGCGGACGGAGACACACAAACATGACAAACACAAGGAAACCATCACCACACAATTACAGCGCACCCAACACACACACTCACTCACGCATACAGGGAACTGCATCCAACAAAAAGCAACAAGAGACTCCAGCAACACCAACAGGAGGAAGAAGAAGACGAAGACGAGCCCCACGCACTCATGTTCCACTCTGGAACACTGCTATCCGCCCGCGCTGTTTCCCCGCGGAACGGTGCTTCAGGCTCCAATCAATCCTCTGGAAACAGCCTATTGGACTGTTTCTACCGCGGAACTGTCGCTCCCTCCCACGGTGCCATTTCTAGGGTTCCCTTCAGATCTGCAGAATGCGAAGCGAGATCACGGGCTTGGGATTAGAGCAAGGGCAGGGCAAGCTAGCGAGCTAGCTGAGGAGAGAGAGAGTGTGAGAGAGAGCGAGGGAGATGCGCTGAGACGGTGCCATGGGGTCACCCTTCGCACGCGTTGTGATCGCCTAATTCTTTAGTTGAGGTGGGGCGATTCGAATCCGCGAGGTTTTCGAGATCGATGTTTTGAAAATGAGTAGACGTAATCGATGGGAGTCATGAGCTCCGAGGTTGGAACTCTCCATTGTCTTCGGTGTGGAGGAGCTTCGGGATCTTATCGGTTGCCGTGATGAGTGGATGATAGGGTAAGCTAGCTTTTAGGAATCCTTGTGCATGTGAAATTTTCCGAGGCTGATGTTTGGAAAAGCTCCGCAGGGGTAAGACGCTGGTGAATGAGTGGTATGTGAATTGGAGAGACTGCTAGTAATTTTTTTCTGGGTGTATTTAGTTTGCGAATGCGGAGGGTTTGGAGGGTGTTTGGAGGTTGATAGGATGTTTTTAATGTGCTGTCATTGTCTTGGGTTTGCTCTATCTCGCTGAAATAATAGAGGTCTGATCAGGTTGTTCAGTTTTCCAAGGTTAGTGTAGTTTGGACGGTTGGGGGTTATGGTGAGCGGTGAATAGCCCTTCGTGGAACGTATTCATTTCCTTGGATTCGTTCTTGAACGTCCGGGTGGTTTTCAAGACTCTTGGAGTAGCTTGCCGCGAGGCGGTGACGATCTATCTGTGTGTTGGTGGTTGTTATAAGCATTTTTATTTATTTATTTTTTCCTTTTTCTTTGTGTGGAACCTACAGTATAGGATCTTCTGTGGGCTATTGTGTAAAGATTTTACTGTCTTACAAGATTGCGATGGATCTTTTAGTGCCTTCTCTGATAACAATTTGATTGTTCTCGCGTTTTGGAAGGGCTGACGATTTCCCGGCTGTGATGTGCACTTCGTTTTTAATTATTGTTATTATTTCCCTTACTCTCAATACCTCTATTTTCTTAGTTTCTATTTTAGATTTGGTGAAATCTGCCTTAATTTCAGTGTCTCCAAAACTCTGATGATGCTGCTAGATCCTTATCACCTGATCTTGGTAGTAAGTCTGAGTTTCAAGATAATTGGCATTGGTGTATTTCATGCCGACACTTCTGACGTATGGAAGCTTAGATTCGCTGCCAAGAGCAGTAAACTGAACGGAATCTCTTGTGTGTGATAGACATAAACATGTTAAGCGAGGGCGATTTGCAGGATCCCAGGTATATGACTGGAATGATGGGTAACCCAGGGAAAAAGGAGCTTAGACTTCAGAAGCGGAGCTTGAGAGTTGGAGTGCGTGCGTTGTATGTGCTTGCGTTAATATTAGTGACGGAGCTTCTTGCGGGAGTAAGCGCTGAAAGAGAGGACTATGTCGATTTCGTAGAAGAGCGGAAAAAAGAAGCCGAATTGAATGCCACTAGGGCTAATGGAACTGCGCCAAGTTCGAGGGATCAGGGAAGCATAGCTGAAGCATTTGACAAGTTGTTGGAAAAGGAATTTCCTGACAAGGAGGACCCTCAGGAAGCGAGTGAGGGCCTGGTTGGAAGCAGCTTCAACAATAGTGTGAATAATCAGCAAGCTGAGTTGGAGACAGTAGCCAGAGTCACTCACGACAAGCCCAAGAAGAATGACACTTTAGAAGTCAATGGAACAGCTAAATCGTTTCAGCTGCAGGATCTCATTAGTATGGAGTCTGGTGAATCTGGTGTGGAGGAGACACCCCGTTTGATAGATAAGAAGGATAATGTGTTCGTTATATCCAACCCAAGGGAGTCCTCCATGGTCCTTCAACAAGACGTGAGATTTATCTCAGATCTGGTGATCGTCATTGTATCAGCAGCCGGGGGCGGCATTCTCTTTGCCTGTCTCGGTCAGCCTGTCATCACGGGTTATCTGCTTGCGGGATCTGCGATTGGTCCCGGTGGACTTGATCTTGTGAGTGAGCTTGTTCAGGTAGAGACTGTGGCTCAATTTGGTGTTGTATTTCTTCTCTTTGCTTTGGGACTCGAATTTTCGACTACGAAATTGCGGGTGGTGAGAGCTGTTGCTATCTTTGGAGGATTTCTACAGATTGCCCTCTTCATGTGTTTGAGTGCAATCACTGCGGTGTTTTGCGGAGCAAGGGCTTCAGAAGGCATATTCGTCGGTGCATTTTTGTCGATGTCATCGACAGCTGTGGTACTGAAATTTCTGATGGACCGTAATACCACGAACTCTCTTCATGGCCAAGTAACCATCGGGACCCTCATACTTCAGGACTGCTGCGTGGGGTTGCTTTTCGCTCTGCTCCCAGTCCTTGGTGGTAGCGGGAGTGTTATATCTGGACTGATGTCGATGTCACGATCTCTATTTGTGCTCGCAGCTTTTCTTCTTTTTGCTGCAATCTTGGCTCGCACCCTTGTACCACAATTCTTGAGACTCATGGTGCGTTTGTCCAGACAGACGAATGAGTTGTATCAACTCACTGCAGTAGCCTTCTGCTTGCTGATCGCGTGGATAAGTGACAGGCTAGGGTTGAGCTTAGAGCTGGGTGCCTTTGTCGCAGGTGTGATGATTTCGACTACTGATCTTGCGGAGCACACTCTTGAGCAGGTGGATCCAATCCGCAACCTTTTTGCGTCGCTATTCTTGGCGAGTATTGGGATGTTGATAAATGTCCAGTTTCTGTGGACTCACATGGACATCCTGCTATCGTCGTTGATTCTTGTCATCTCTTCTAAGACCATCGTGATTACCTTAGTGGTCAGGGCTTTTGGTTACAACAACAAAAACGCTTTTCTTGTTGGGATGTCTCTCGCTCAAATTGGGGAATTCGCATTTGTGCTCCTAAGCAGGGCATCTAATCTTCACCTTATTCAGAAGAAGTTATATTTATTGTTACTAGGGACAACGGCTCTCAGTCTCATAACTACGCCACTATTATTTAGAGCGATTCCTGCAGTGCTTCATATTGGTTCTCTGATGCACTGGTTGCCTCAAGACACCGGCCAAATCGAAATAACTGAGAAACGAAATGGCAACCCATCAAAGGATATTTTAAATTCAGCATCGTTGAAGGTTTGTTCTATATAGCAACATCTTTTTTTCTGCACTGGTTCCGTACTTGTTTCTCCGGCGTGCATGTAGTCCAGAGATTTGTTGCTCAGATTTTCTCTTCAGTATAGGTTAAACCGCGGTAGATTTTAGGGGTCCAGCTTAGGAGACCTTGGGAGGCCTGTGATACCTCATGTGATGGAGAGTGGAATATACTTGAAGCCTGGAGGTGAATGGGCTGGGGAGGTAACAAAAGCTGGTCCCATGATTTGGGTGACCAGTGAGTGATCAGGCCTACCTGATTGTAATCTTGTACCATGTTAGTTTTCAGCGACGTTTTAGATTTCTTTCTTTTCAGTATCTGGGGTTCATTCTTTGAGATTGACATTTCAACGATCATTATAGATTGATCTGGGCTAGTTTAGGGTTGTCGTCGTATGGAGGATGGTGAGTACCGAATCTCTCAATTTGTACTCTTATAGCTGAGAAGCCCATGGCCCAGCACGTGGTTTAATTTTGCCCAGTCAAAGGATATGTGCCATCTTCATGTGAACAGGTCTCAACATTATGCATTTTGTGTATGTGACGCACTCTATTTTATCGGCCTTGACTTTATGTATCTGTTTTAGGTCCTGTGATGGGGAGATGCGCTGGAGAGTTTTATAAAGAGAACATACGCTTTTCCTTTGATCGTTTGTTTTTTTTCTTTGAAACCATTTTTATCTTGGGATTAGACTCGGAAAAATAGCAGTATCAGCAATGCTGAGAAAGAGGGGCAACGGTTTTTATATAACTGTTCCTGCTGCCGCTGCTGTATATGCGATCATGAGGTCTTAATAAATGGTGGGTTCTGCATAACCACGTTGAACTAAATGTGTAATTGAGCGTCCAAGGAACGAGAATCCGAGCTTGCGAAGGAAACGTTTAGGATGAATGTCATAGTTTGCAGAGTCTCTACCTGTGATCTTATTTGATTTTCTAGACTGAACTTTCACCCATCACAAGTGGCGGTGCTATTGTCTGCTGCATCGAACCTGTAACGCATGTAAAATTTTATGTTTTAAAATACTTCAAAATAATGAAAACTCATGAAATGTTAAAGCAAGATAGTGTTGTTAAAAAAGACTATTATCAATGTGTTCATTATATTTGTTTACTAATTCACTAATGGAATGTTTAACAAGTTGACTATGTTTTGAGTGTTGTGTAAGGTTGACATGTGGTTGTATTCAAAATAACAATCTTGTGTAAGTTTCAAGTTTCATGTCTGATAGTTGTTGGAACAAAATAATGTCAGTCTTAATGTAATGCAATGAATGCTTTTAACCAATTTTACTATTGCAACCATTAACAATCATCAAATATAAGTCAACAATCACCAATTATTGTATTTGTTGTTTAAACAAACCAACAAATCTAATTGCAAAAAAACTTTTAAATGCGTACAAACTTTTTGTGTATTTTTAACCCACTTAGCAACTATTATTGATTGCTTGTAATTTTTACCTTTGGTATTGGATATGGTAATGCTTTGTAAGCTATGAGCACCACAAAAGTTACCACAAGGATCTAAGAGTTCAATATTAAATGGGAATAAGCCAAATGCTTCACTTCAGCAAAGAATAACATTGTTCTTTGTTGTAGTTTAAAGACTTGGACTTGGTTTTTAGCTCTAGATCAAGAGAGTAGTAGAGTGGTTGCAAGTTGGCTTTGTTATGTATAATAGATATTCCTGCTTTATTTATGAACACTTGTTTTTGTTTCTCAAAGTTGTATTAAGAAGCAGAAGAATCTTAGGTAGATACAATTGTGAAGAAAAGAGTTCAATACAATTCCTTCATGCCATTTTGCTTATTTTTGATACATTTGTATTTACCATACCTTAGATTAATTTTCTTGCTTTTACTTGTTTTTTTATTATCATATAAATATATCATTATTTTGATTTATTTCGTTAGAACTATATTGGTAGGAATTTAATGTCTTGTTGAATATCTTTTATTGATTGAAAGTGTGAAGTTGTTTAATTTTTTTGTTAGAAGGTTGCTTTATGAGAAGTGTGAAAAAATATAGCACTTGCCATCTTTATTGGTTTTTATTTTTATTTTTAATAGAGACAATAATTACCAAATTTCTTTGATAGATTTATCAAAAGATTGGCAATATTTGTAGTAATATGTGCAAGTATGGCATTTGATTTTTTTTTTTTTTTTTTTTTTTTTTTGCTAAAATAATTGCTCTTTCAAAGGTGGTATAGAATGCTTAGATTTTATTATGTTGCATATATAAGTAGGCTACTTGCTAAATATAAAATATACAGATTCTATAAATTTATTAAATATTTAGTAAAAAATAGTAGATGTTTCCACCAAAATCCAACACAAAATATACCTTAAAATTATTTTGTAGCTATTGGCAAAGCTCTACACGAGGATTGTATAAGTTGAGAGATTGAAGGGCATTCTTGGTCTAATTGTAGCTATGCCACTGTTGTATTATGTGTATTCTTGGTTAAAAATGCACCAGGTAGCTAATTGTGAAAGTATCAAGGACATGAACTTTAAAGAACTAAAAGGTCAATATACTCTTGTATCACTTCAAACGACTAAAAAATCACTCAAAGATGATAATATATTGAACTAGAATGGGTATTGCCAAAGACAAAAAGACTAAAAAGTCTTGAAATAAGACTAAGAACTAGAAAGACATTGAAAAGAGTGAAAAAGGCTTCACTCTTACTTCCATATATATTGTCTAATTAAAAGCTATGTAGTGATGTTTTATAGGACCTCCAACACATGTTGACTTTGCTAGACACAAGTCTTAACTTGCAAGTCAAGTTATTCATATGTACACCATATAATTACCTTATTTCACAAATTACCAATATGTAAGGCACATGGTTAACTAATTGACAAAGTTTCTAATCTATCAATCAACAACAAATACATGTAAAGTCAAAATCATGTCTATGAAACTTCTAAAAAGCTTTTTTAGAAGATATTATGAAATTAATCTACATTTACATACTTCTATCTAATCATATAGGTAATTATTAGAAAAAATACATATGTCCGTGACATTATTCCTCATAGAAATAAGTTTCACAAGGAGCAATCATCATCTTTAATAGATCTTACTATTTTTCATCTTGTTTTTAATGGATGTCATCAATGAAAAGCCTCAACTTTTTTTGCCACATTTATTAGATTATTTGCTGACTTCTATGTGCATTCATTAATATCATATCCATTTTTGTGATGTAACATAGCTAATAAATGAAAGAGAGATAAAAAAAAACTTTATATTATAGAAGATTTTATTTTAAAATATTATAGCAAATTATCTTAAGAATATAGATAATAGTCAAAAAGATACTAAAACTAAAAAGTACTAATGCTACTTTTTTCCAAAATGGGCTTCTACTTACTTTGTAGGACTATAAATAAGGCAAAAAAAAGTAGACTGGAAAATTAAATGATATAAGCATATGTAGGAGGAAATTAAGAATAGATTTTAGAAAAATTTACCTCAAGAAGCTAAGAATTGATATCTAAAGAAGATCAATCATCAACTTGGATTGAAATCAGACCCTGAGGCACAAAATTGCATACCTACGATGATTCTAAGGTTCTTTTATAGATTGAAAGGTGAGATTTGAAAGCAAACTTGAGGAGAGATTTTTAAGCATTAATTTTATGTCATTTGGATCAATATTGAGATTTTGAGGGATTTTCAAAATTAATGATATTTTTGATAGGATTAGGATTTGAGAAATAAAAATATGTTTACAAATTTGAGGGTTTCTTGAGATTTGTAATATGTATATAAGTGAAATTTGGATAATGTGTTGGTGTAATAGTTTTTAATGTGTATGCAAATTTTGAAGTCAATCAAACAATTAGATTGAAGTATATGAGGAATTTTGTAGATTGAGGTCTCAAAAATTGGAGTTTAAGGATTAGTGAGTATTTTTAAGATCTTTATCAATTTATCAAGTTGATAGAATTGATTTTTTTTGTATGAATACTAAAATTAATTTTTAATTTTTGGGTGAAATTTGAGAGCAATTTAATAGTTCAAATAGGAGATATTGGCATTAGAAGTTTAGTATTCAAATTGGAATAAGAATCTGTCTAACTTTTGATTGGATTATCTTGCATTTCTCTCAATTGGTAAGTATGATTAATTTCATCTTTCTTCTACTTGTTTCTTATTAAGATATTAAGAAGCATGCAAATTTTAAGTTGATATCAATAGTTTGATCATTAGTTGTTGAAGTTCCATTTTGTTATAGGATTTGTTATGAGTTTATTTAAGATCCAGTGTTTGATTAGGATTTGATTTAGGATTTGTCTACATTTTGGTTAGGGCTTAGGATTCGGTCTAGGATTTAGTTAAGATTAGGATTTTGATTTTGAACTTGACTAGGATTTGATTAGGATTTGACTAAGATTTTATTAAGATTTGACTTAGAATTTGGTTAAAGTTTAATTTAAGATTTCAATTAAGATTATATTAAGATTTTTATTTTTATGATTTCTTTAGGATTCTTTATTATTTCTTTAAATTTTTTATTTCTAACATTTCTTTATGATTATTTTTATTTCTCTAAAATTTTATTTTTATATTATTTTAAAGTTTTCTTGTTATTTTTTTTGACATTAAATCACAATTTTTTTGTGTTTTTTTGTAACTTCTTTTAAATTTATTTCAATAGATTAAAATTTGATTATATTTATTAAGGATTATTTGAAGTTTATTTAAGATTTTATTAGATTTAGTAGAATTATTGTTGTATTTTTACTTACATTCCATAGCTAAGAGCTTGGTGCATTTTCAAGCAAGAACACACATAATATGACACCGTACCAATAAACAAGATATTCCAACCTATTTTAGTACCGCTTGGAATCTAAGACTTCTTCCACCTCAAACTCTTGAATATTATCCACTTCTATAAGAAGAGGTGGCATTTATCTTCTTTTTGATATTTTCATTGTCTTATATGGCTCAAGAAGAGATATGTAGAATACAAGATGGATCTTCATAGACTTTGATAGATGTAATTAACAAGCAATAGAATTGATTTATTTTTAAATAGAAAAAGATTCAAATTTATAATAGTCTAATTTATCATAAGAACAAGTAGTCTTAATATTACAATGAAATAACTATACCTTGTCACCCACATTGAGTTATGGTTGTTCCTTGTAATAGGCATTTGTATTGATCTATTTTTGTTCCTGAACTTATTTTAATTATGCCTTCATTGTTGTATATAGCTTTCACAAATAATTTGCCAAATCTTTTGTTGTAGGATTACCAATTTTTAAAAAGTCAAAACTATCAAGTCATGGATGATAATTATAATTGATAAAAAAAGATATTTATTGAATAGAAGAATTTATCAAATTATTATATGCAAACTCTACTAATAACAAAAGAATTTTTTAATCCTCTTGATGTTAATTGATAGTGCATCTTAAATACTACTCAAAAACTTGATTCACTTGTTTTGTTTACTTATCATATTAAAGATGAAAGACCAAA